TTTCATGTCATTGTTTGTGATGCTCGATGGGGCTTTCATTTGAACTGTCGCTTGGTTGGGTCGCGGTGCGGCGCTCGATGTTGTGTTGTCATCATGAGATTTGTGTTTTTAGTCCTTTCAGTGCTGAGTTTATTTTCACATTTTTTGCATACATTGCTAAAGGATGTTTGAAAAAAAGTACCCTATAAAAAAATGCAAAAACGAATCCTAAATTAATTCAGTAAAATAATTTTAAATCGCTATTTATAAATGCTATTAATTTATTAAAAACGTTTCCGTGCGCGCGGTAAGACACGTCCGTACAGGTCGATACATAATACCTACTTATAATTAAACCGCGCAAATAATCGGTATTCCGACGGTCCGCACTTTAAATGCATTAATAGAGAATCGATCTATCGACGGTTCGCGCTCAAAGGGTTAAAGGAATTTCGTACGTGTGTAACATTGGAGAAAATGTACCTACTGTGGTGGTAGATCGTGATATGTTCCCTCGGGACTTGCCACTGCCACGCGAACACAGTATTATCTTCCTCTTTGTTCGTACTTCAAAGAAATTCTTCAAAACGGTTCGCAAATGTAGGAATTTGAAACCTTGCTTTAACGTGAGGTTTAATCACATGTTCAGATTAAGCTGGTGTGCCCCACCGGCTGTGAAAACAATAACTGTTAAGGGACGTAAAGTTTCCCATTTAGACGCATCGAGCCGAAATTCCAATACTGGCCAATCATCTAAGCGTAATAGCTATCAATAAAATCGTGCCAGTCAAACAAATACATGCGGCGCCTCTGCAGCACACAACTATACAAGAGTTCAAGATGGCTGGCCACGAGGTGGGTTGCGCTTGTTAAAAATTGTCGCTTATACTTTAAATATGACTTGGTAATCGAGAAAATAAGTCTCAACCGGCAACCTACCTTTTGAATTATCTACGCTTAATATCGCCAAGTCACGACCTTATTGGAATTATCCCGCAAGCGTTATTGTAGTAGTATTAAAATGTTATTCGATGTCGCTGTTATTTATTAATTAACAGCTCTGCGATGCTGCCTGCCCACTTGTTAATAGAATATACTATATATAGCACGATTGTTTGATTGAACATTTCCGTGATGCTATTTACATATAAAATCAAATTATAGCTGACGTCAGCTGAGCTTCAGTGTCGCTTCATGTGGAGCATGATGTCCGCGACGACCTAAGTAGAGAAAAGAAACGGCGTGACCTCTGGCAGAACCTTCGTAATTACAACAAGATCATCGAACTGATTCATTGAACAAAACGTATTATTATAATTTGTACGCTGGCCTTTTTATTTCATTAATACCCTTGATAGTACAATCAATCTACAACAATACATGCAAAAACTAAATGCATTTCGGTCCAACAGAGTATTTAATTAATCGACCTTGTTGACGTCGAAATGTAGGCTATTTTTTATTTTCGAACAAATCGTTTAGAAACGCCACCGTGATGCTACTAACTGCTTACAAGTAACGTAGCTCACGAGTCACGGTAGAAGATAAACCAGTCATATAAGCTGCTGTTAGTCCTGAGGCTGTACTGCTGGAACAAAGGTCCGCCGTTCATTCTGTAACGTCCCCGCGGTGTTGTGTGCCCGCGGGGGTGGTATAGTCGGTCGACTCGTCGCGTATCACACGACATTCCTCTGAACAAGTTGTTTATGATAAATACTCACAATAATGTGTTGTCGTGTTTATCGCAGTCGCTATTACTGAAGTGCAAGGTGATGTCGCAGCCTCATTAATACTAATTGCAGCACTACTCGTACAAGCATATTAACATACGACAGATGAAACCTTATCCTGATCAATTAGGGTAATCGTTGCGTCAGTCGGCACTAGCCTGACTGCTGTGAAGCAAAACATCATAATCTCTGTTTTGAAGTGTTTTCAAGTGCAAGGACAGATGGTCACGTCCAGGTTATATTTACTAAAATGTTCTTGTACTCACTCGTGCTAAAGTCGTGACCTCGCTTGCTCATCTAAACCCGTAAAAAATATGTCAAAGCTTTCTCAAAAAATGCGACAGTTACATGGGATTTGAGATAAATAATAGTTTTATAGACCCTTTTTCCAGACCAATTATCTATATATTAATACGTGAAGCAAAAACTTTGTATCCCTTTTTACGAAAATTGCGCGGACGGAGGACTATGAAATTTTCCACACTTATAGAGAATATAGAGAAGAAGTGCACAATGCTAATTTTTTTTTTAAATAATGCATAAAGGATACTTTAAATCGATAAAGAAAACATTACACACACTACATACCATGTATTTGACGCACACACGCATGCATACTATTTATTGTCAAACTTTTGTTCTTGACGTCTGTGATCAAATTGAGAATAGATTAAATATTGTCTGTCTTTATAAATATTTTTTATAGTGTAGTCTTGGCGAGATTTGTGATTATAGAAGTATAAAATACAATCATAATAGTGTACAAACTTACAATTCCAATTAATTATAGTCGAATTTCGACTACTGCAGGACCTCTAGTAAAATTAATTATAACAGTCTTTATCAATCAATACTAAACTTCAGTTTACAATTTTTTATATTTGCTTCCTGTTACTTGTTTGATATTCTGACCGCTGCTGATATGGAGCGGTTTTGTGAGTAGACTCGCACGGCTTTTTTTTTTCTTACCTATGCTGATAGCCTCTCAAGGCTATTTTAGCTTCACCCTAACGTTTGTAGGTGAGCTCACGGGGCTCAAACCGGAGAGTTGCTAACACTGACCCTAGCAAGAACAGTGCTTTGCAGAATTTACCACCGGATCGGAAACGTGACCCACTGAGAAGATCCGGCGAGAATCTCAATGGGCTGTGTCTATGGGTTAATTAGCTCGCCGAGCCCTTCGTCGCAAGCGACGGGTTCGACGAGGACGGTGACCGGAGTTCTCACGGCTAATTCTATGCAGTGGTAGGATTTCTCAATCGTCACTATGTCGCCACTTCCAACGCAACAAACAGATCCATCCATCCGACAACCCATCGTCTGTCGCCCACAACTGGATTAGGGTTTTTCTTTGTCGAGACTGATAAAGTTTGATTTAAGTTTTTTATAATTAAGAAGATGGCATATATATATTTTAAATTGTAAGGATCTCTTGAGTTAGCTTTGCTTTTCATCCGAAATACTGGATACTTAGTCACTGCATGCATAAATGCTGGGCTAAATGGGGAAATGTATTTATTTTAATTATTAGGTTCACTGGATAACTTAATTAACACTTCACTTTACTAACAGGATAGACTCAACTGGATAAAATCAACACACATTAACATTTAACTGAATAGAAAAAATAAGTATACTTTTGAATTAATCATTTTGGGTGCGAACACAACTTGTATAAGTTCGGTTGTGTTAAAAGTCGCTAAAGTTAGCCTTTCATTTATGAAATAATAAAGTAACAACACATATACATAAAATTAAGGAAATAAACCATAAAATGCAATACAAACTAACAAAAACATTCAACAAATAAAAATAAAAATAATGTTACCACATTGACTGTCGTGTAGGTCACCGGTGCCCTACGCGGCGCACTGAAGTAATTATGTCTGCCTGGATTGCCTAACTTTGCCTTCTTTTGTTTGTTAATAATATCATAATGTTTTTTAGTCTTTAAGTCATTCTTAGTTTCTTCGGATTTGTCCGTCCCAGGGTCTACTAAATATTTCATATTCCGGCGCCTTAGTAAGAAGATTGAAGAGGGAAATCGACATAATTATTTCTGTGCGCCGCGTAGGCCACCGGTGACCTACGCGGCATTTAACGTGTTAAATATAAAAATATAAAAATCAAATGAGTTCAGTGTGGATCGCGGAACTTGAACTTATTATAAGCGAGAGTAGAGAAGTTGGACAAAGCAATATGTCGATTTAATCACGTATACTATTAGTGACTTCCCAGTCATACCACAGACAGGAGAATGCTGGACGAAACTAGCACTGGACAAAATCCAAAATTGGGCACGCAGTATGTTTTGATGAATAATTAAATGTTAATTGTAATTGTAAAATTTGCGAGTTCTTTAACGAAACCGTTTGATATATCATATAGGTTTTTTTTCGACTTAAAGATATTCCAAAATTTTTAAACATGCTTAAACTCAATGCGATGACCGTAATAATAACAATTCTCCCGCGTCGAATCCTCTACAGAAAGTAAGGTTGCCGGTTCTTCTGATCCCGTCCGACTAAAAACCGTAAGAGTGTTTCAGAAATATCTATGTGTCGCGGATAACTCAAACGTTGTATTTGTACTTGTAGTAGGTACTACATTGTTAAGTAAATGACAAACGTACCTACGTAATGCAAATATTACAATTGTAATCTGCCGGCGTGCACGCTGCGCCCCGCCGCTGCAAGGACGCTCACGTCGGAGCACCAAGCTAATGTTTTTGCTCATCACCTAAACGTGAATAATTTTTTTTTTTTTTTTTTTTTTTTTATTGCTTAGATGTGTGGACGAGCTCACAGCCCACCTGATGTTAAGTGGTTACTGGAGCCCATAGACATCTACAACGTAAATGCGCCACACACCTTGAGATATAGTTCTAAGGTCTCAGTATAGTCATAACGGCTGCCCCACCCTTCAAACCGAAACGCATTACTGCTTCACGGCAGAAATAGGCGGGGCGGTGGTACCTACCCGTACGGACTCACAAGAGGTCCTACCACCAGTAAAAACCAACAATTTGAAAACATTGATAAAAACTGTGTAGCTACATACACAGCACGCGCGCTGCGACCTCACAACTGTTCACATTGTATTCAACTCTACTTATTAGTATTGTTTTTAGGTCTTTTCTTATTGTATGTTCTTACAGGGATCTATATGGGTTTTAAAAATGTATTTCATGTAATTCTAATAAATCTAAATACTAAATGATGATAAACGTATACTACATATATAAAAGGGAATTTTGTTTTGAAGTTATCAGAATGTTATTTCCAATTTCAGGTGGTGCTTTCGAAGGTGTAGAAGACCAGGTCTCACCATTCGGTTACGGTCGAGGCGAGGGCGTGGACGCCGGCCATGGTGACCCAGAATGGATCTGCAGCAAGGAGAAACCGAACTACGACCGAATCTTCCAATCTCTGAACCCGATCGACGGCAAAGTGACTGGCGCCGGTACGAACATGCAAATACTAAAATACCCCGAGCCGCGAGGGACGGTCCTTCTCGACAGAACTCTCAAAATAATGCACTCTGCCACACAAAACTGCACTCTATTGTCAGAGCTGTGCATACATTTACACCATACTAATAGCGATGACCCAAATTTCGGTAAAATTGTCGACGCTCTGACAGTCGCCAATGAGACCTGCAGCGCGGTAGCCCGGTGCCTGGTCGGGGCCCGCGGGAGAGAGGACGACGACATGTCCTTCAGGGAGCATGTAGTTGAATCGCCCAGTGTTAGCCGATGCCATTCGAACGAAGATGATACTCCGTTCGATACATCTGACGACACGGCTTCCGACACCAGCGCTGATGCAGCTCCTAGTCGTGAGCCTCCTGCTCGTGAGCCCACAGCGAACACTCAAAGCATTTTAAATCCGTTGCGGCTTATCCGTACCGTGTTCGGTGTCTTTGAGGCGATCGTTGTAGCAACAGTTACAGTCGTTTTATTCATGATTTCATCTCAGTTACTGTTCATGTTGTTGGCGAAGGCAATAACCGGGGAGACGTATTTCGAGTTTTCTGTTGAGAAGACTCCAAATACTTGGTTAGAGAAGGCTAAAAGCTTAACGTTCGGTGCTGAAGACGAAATAGTGAAGCTAGAGCACGTGGCCGGCCTGCTCCAGCCCCGGACCGTCGCCAGCCTCGCCCGGTACGTCGCGCAACGACTCGGCCCCGACGATTAGGCATTTTGTCTTTCCTACTCGATATCAATAAAAACATATAAAATAACAAAAATATAGTAAAATGGAAAGAGAAGTATACACACAGGACATAATCTAGATAATAGATCGGGGGAAAATGTTTCTTGTATATATATAAGTATATTATGTACAAATTCAAGATATTTTTTGTCTCAGTTTATTTATATATAAAAAATGTATAGTGATATTTTGTTCGACAACAACTTTTTACTTACAAGATACGAAAAAACTTTCCTACGATATACCTACCTAATATAAAAATGTTTAAATATATTCTCACTTAATACTTAAGGTTCTAACTCCTTGCGTCAAAATACCGCCCGGATGTGTCTCCCAATAGCGTTTGGAGATGAGTCTAGACATCTTCGGCCGGGTAACCATTGTCCAAGACGTTCAATCTTGCCCCTGCCGGTCGCCGCACTGACAATGTTATGTCGTAGGACCCCGGCGTCTCCGCGCAGGGTCGCCGCGGGTAGCTGCCCACTTCAACTTTCAACTCTGGGTTGAAGTTCACCTCGTGCTGTTGTCAGCCAAACGTAAATAATGTGCGGTACCGCTTCGCGAAATAACAAATAACTTGTAATATGTTAGAATATAATACTACATACTATATTCTATCTGTGGCGGTATCCGGTGTATTATTGTTGTCCGTCTGCAGTCAGTTGATACAACATGACCTCCGTGGTCTGCTTGACCAACGCCAACGGTATCTAATCGTAATTTTACGGACGCGTAATATTGAAACCATCCTTTCTACATTAATTGAAGGCAAGTAACAGATCTACCGCTTCCCCTACTTTTAGTTCAGTTTCTTNTACTATATTCTATCTGTGGCGGTATCCGGTGTATTATTGTTGTCCGTCTGCAGTCAGTTGATACAACATGACCTCCGTGGTCTGCTTGACCAACGCCAACGGTATCTAATCGTAATTTTACGGACGCGTAATATTGAAACCATCCTTTCTACATTAATTGAAGGCAAGTAACAGATCTACCGCTTCCCCTACTTTTAGTTCAGTTTCTTGATACTTCATGTTTAAGCTTTGCATTTTGCTAATTCGCTTCGTCTTTCGCACTGCAATGATTTGTTAACTCATTTACGAAATTAAACGATTTTCGATTTTTGTTGCCCAAGGTGAAATCTAAGCACTAGTCTATGATGCTACGATTTACATTATATTGCAACAGGTCCCTTTATCCAATTAAATTCTACTTGTTGCAAAGACGAAGCACTATACTGTAGTAAATATTCAAATTCTATTTGTTTGTTTTTGTGTAAGCTCTAACAGTAGATGCGGAATAATGTGTATGACAATAACAATAACGGTAGCAATAGGTTTATCGTGATCGTTGCCTAGGCGGACAATATTCAACTCGGTACCGTATTCACTGCGTACACCTACCTGCCCGTAATTAAATTAACTATGCATTTTGCTCGTGTCTGAAATTCAGGTGCTTAAGTTCCAAGTTAAGACATTTATGAAGTTTCCGTTTTATAATACTGGCCGTTTGGAACGTAATTTATGTGTGGCTGGCAATCAATTTTAAATTCAAATGAATTTTATTTTAAAAATATGGAATTGTATTTTCAAATTCATTTATTAATTAATTGATTAGAATTATTTTATTTTCTTTACATTTGTATACTTTTCATAATTAAGGACACAATAGGTATGTAGCAATACGAGTAATTATGGAATACGAGTAATGTCGCGGTACAATGGCGGAGCTGCTACAGCTATTAGCCGACAGGATAACATCCAAAAACATTTTACACATATTATTTCTAATAGTTAGTATTTAGTAGTCAACGTCCTCGCGGTCTCGGGTCATGCTGTAGAGCTGCTTCGCGGCACTTCGGTACACTACACATCCTGCACGGAGACCTCATTAACGCGAAAATGAGAGCGTACTATTATCTGCCGCTATTACGTCAACCACGTCATGTCACTCGACAGAATGTAGTAGTGTACATTAAAAGTTATACTGAACAACGAAGAGTCCGGAAATATGCTACATTTCTGTGTCTGACAAATTATACTAACACATTTTCAAAATAAACTCGTATTCTTGCTTATATTACGAACTATTTTTCAACAGCCGCAAAGACAGAGATGGTGAAGTCGAAGCTGCCCAACTCTGTGCTCGGCAAGATTTGGAAGCTCTCCGACATCGACAAGGATGGCTTCCTGGACGAAGAGGAGTTTGCGCTCGCGATGCACCTCATCTCGGTGAAGGTGGACGGACACGACCTGCCCACCGAGCTGCCCTCGCACCTCGTGCCGCCCTCCAAACGGAACTGAACGCGCTGCGGTCCGCGGGCCCTCGACCAGCACATTTAGTCTATTTGTAATTTATTGAACTTTGTAATAGAGATATATTTGTTTACTGCACTGTTGTTGCTTGTTTTATTTGGCTTCCGACGCCGCGCGACCACTTTGTTATTGTTCTGAAGTATTCAATTTATGAAACCAATTTTTTTTTTTTTTTTATCGTTACATATATCGAAAATAAAGTATATTTATTTAGATATAATTTTTATTGTAATAATTTATAATAAAAGATTTAAATGTCATATGTAGCTGCATCCAATGTTTTAGCTTTATTTACTTAACTTTTGTAGAGGTAGGTCTAATTGGTGCGCAGAATGATTGGTTTCCAAAACAGTATGTAAGCGTCGTCCGCGCGCGGGCGGGGTGTGACGCGCCTGCAGACGGACGCTTTCACTTATGATTATTTTCTTTACAAAACACTTCAGTGAACTTTCTAATTACATAAAAGTTCATTGAAAACGGTAAGGGTAATCCTTCCGTGAAGCTACTATATCGAGGGGTGAAACGCTCTGGTGTAAGCGATATTTATCTTTGTAATTAAAGGTCCGTTTTATTTAGTATCACCATCAACAGTTCGATGTTTTTAATTGAATTTTAATTATGTTTACTTCATTCAAATAACTGAAAAAGATTTTTTTCGTTATGTGATATTTTTTCCAAATTTTAAACGTTTAAATGGCTCTCCTCTAGAGTTGCAAAAATGTCGCTTAAACCAAACAGCCCTCGACATGTTGTTCCTGCACAGATACAGCGGTGTATCGGTCTTCATATTCCTTATATCATAATGTTTTAGAATTTATATTATACATGATAAAAAAGCAAATTGTAACGGCGCTGTCATGTCGCACAGGCGCCCCGCTACTGCACTACATATGTAAATAATATATCTTATTATGAGAATAACGTAAAAGTTGTTTTGTATTCTCGTTCTCATATAAAGCCGCCGAGATGAGCTTAGTGTTGCAGCCTGTAAGCAATTCTCAGCATCCGTTTGGCGCGAGACGAGGCTTTACTTTGAGTTGTTTTTACATTTTGCTACTATGTGTACATAATTATATGTAAATTAATAATGAAAATAAATTATACATAGCATGTAATAAATAGATAAGAAAGCACATTGAAGAGTTTTTTTCGTCTTCTAGAATTAAATTATATATTCAATTCACAGGTTTAATACTGATATCTACCTGTATGATATGTACCTAACTGAACCTTTAGCAATGTCAACCCTACAAGGAAATGATCCCCTGAAAGTAATTATTATTTTTAATGTTAAGATAGTCGAAGTGAACTTATCAAGTGACAGTCCTATGTTTCAAACCGGAAATTTTAACTGATCGTCTGAATGACTGAGTGAGTCGATCGCTTGGTTGATCCTCCTCCTTGCGTCGTATTCTTCACTGCTGAGGGTAGCCACCACTCTTGTATGACCTTCGCACGTACGATCTTTCTCCACCTATTCTTGTCTCTGGCGGTGTGGAGCATTGTGAAATGTGGAATCAAGAACGGTACGGATCTGATCGGACTGGTCGGACTCTGCAAAGCCACTCGGATGACAGCCGCGAGGAGATTTCGAATTCTTGCAAAATTGATACGTTGGTCCAAAATGCTGACTACGGAATACGGAGAATCTTTCTCCAGCACCACATCTCAAAGGTGACAATCCGTTTACGCTCTACAGATTTCAGAGATCAAGTCTCAGCACCATAAGAAAAAATCGAGATTGGTTGGTATAGTGGTTAACACGCTTAGCTAAAAGACCCCGAGGACGAGGTTTAACTCCTGGCCAGAATTCTTGTCAAAGTTGTTTGATATTGGGGAACCGGCACCCGTAACGGGAGGAGTTAATGTGGAAACTTAAATAATAATAATGTAACGGTAGGAGTTCATGTGGAAACTAAAATAATAATAATAGATGGAACGACGAAAGTTGCGATTTTTATTTATATGCGTCGGCGAAGTATGACTTATAAAAAGGGTGTCTAAGTTGACGCAGCTCTAGTACCTACTCTCCGCGGAGACCGGCGCGGCGTCCTCGGTGTGCCGCCGCGTGTCTGGTTGTAGTGTTGACCGCGGGAACCTCCCTACTATGACCGGGTTCTGACCCGGGCGGAGATCGGACATCGGGTGTGAGTGCAGTCGTTTGGTGCGGTAGGGTCCTAAAAATATCCTTGGGCTCGCGGTCTGCTGCCAGACCGTCAAGTCCCACATACCCCGCGTGCCCCTTAGGCGCGGATACCTCGTAGGAGGTTCGGCACGCTGACCGGAAAAAAAACTTCAGTTCACTAACCTTTTTTTCAAATGAAGCTAACTAACTGAAGTAACATTTCCTGAGGCGAACGTCTCATTTCCACATCGTACTATCTGTTAGCTAATTGTAATTCTTACATATTCCTTAACATTATGTACAGATCTCACTGCAAAGATGATCTGTGGACCATACTGTCAGTAAATCCTTCCCGTTTCTTCTCTCACCATTAGTTCGTTCTGAGCTGAAGAATTCTAGTCACATAAAAAATTTACTACAATAGAGATTTCCACCTGTCTTAAAATGAGCAGTAGCATTAACTTGGTGTTGTCTTTGGGTTCTGGACCACTCAACACAAAATAGGCTTTGATTTCATCTGCAAATATAATGTAATAAAAATAAACTGGTAAAATAGTGTACAAAATGATTAAATATTGAATTTGAATTCTATTTTCAAACCCGATCAAGATTAATGTTTTTTTTACTTATTGCCAAAATAATAAAAAATATTATTTTGTTAATGTTCACTGACTATAATGTTCTTGAAATTAAAATTCACTTTATATTTAAATATATATTTATTAAAATTACCAATTAGTCAAACATAAGCTAAGGATAGCTCGGGAACAAAAATTTATTACACTGTTCCCTAATAATTAAACACTTAGCACAAGTTTCTCTATATGAAGTATGGTGAACATATTCTTCCAGATGTTTATATAGGAACAGTATTTATTTGAAGCAGCATGTTTTACATCAGTATTAGGCTGAGTTGTAGTGTGATTTGAGAAACGTTTAACAATTTTTAACAAATAAAGTAAAATTTCACTCTTATCATGTGAAATTGGAATTGAGAGAGAAGACAAAAGTACAGACCAGTATGAGAATTGAGGATCCCAGTCCCCTCTCACAGGCTCAATACTAATACACATCATTCTCACTGAGAAGGTGGCTGATTTTCACCAGACCCTGGGGGTCTAAGCTGACGTCGCAGTTGCTCTACCAAATCAGGATTAGCAGCTTGCATTTGTTGTGCCAATGATTGTCCCACTTCTAACAACGCATTAATACCTCCTGGGGGCACCTCTCCTACACCCTGAGCTCCCCCTGTCGTTGTCATTAACCCTGAAATGAGGTTCTGCATATTAGGGTTAGTGAGCATCTCCGTAGCCATGTTGATCAAAGCAGGATTCCGGAGTAAGCCACTCAGATCGTTAGGGCGCTGTGCTAAGGTTTGGTCAGCGAGTTGGAGGTTTTCTCGGTAGGACTCGTTCTCAGGGTCGAGTTGAGCGGCGCGGGCGTAGGCAGCGCGCGCCTCGCAGTGTCTCTCGAGGGCGGTGAGCGCGAGCCCAAGGCGTCCGTACGCCTTGCTATAGTCAGGCTGTAGGGCGAGTGCTGTGGTACAGTCGCTCACCGCTGCCTCGGGGTCGCACAGCCTGAAATGCGCAGCCGCGCGATTGCAGTAGTAGACCGCGTTTCTTGGGTCGATCTCTATGGCGCGCGTGTACTTTTCAAGCGCTTCGTTGTAACGCTCAGCTTTCATGAGCTCGTTGCCTTCGTTCTTGAGTCGTTCGGCTTCAGCCTTGTTAGCGGGCGGCCCCAGTCGCTGACGGACAAGCTGCAGTAAGTCCAGGCCTCGAGCCGCATCTTCCGTCGTCAGCTCGAAAGCGGTCTCAATGCATTGCACGCCGACTTCGACACTCTCTCTAGAATCAGGGCTCAAAGAATCGCCGTCCAATTGCTGTTTTAGAAAGTTCACGATACTCGCTGCAACTATTTTTATTTCGTTTGACATTTCTATTTTTAAGAATTGCTTTTAACTGCGCAAAATACTGAGCTTCTACGCTTCGTTTAGACTTTAGATTACCAATTTATACAGAAGGTAGATTTTAGACTTGTCACACATTTATGAAACTAAATATCACAGTTGTCAAATTGACTTTGACAGTTTGGACGTTGCCTGCTTAATCATCAACAGCCTGGTTTTGGTCTGTTTTTTATAAATGGACCAAAACCAAATGTTTTAAGTGAAATCGAAACAGCCTTTTGGGTGTAAATAGCGTATCTAAAGACCCAGTCTGGCGAGAAGCCGATGCAGCTACGAACTTAATTGTCTATGGAATGAAATCATAAAGTTCTAAAGGTGCCAGTAAATGGCCTTAAGCAAAGAAAGAGAGAGGTAGGGATAACCCAAAGCCTTGGTACGAAAATTACTGGATTTACGTGATTTAGATGCGGAAGAATGATGTCATTGGTTTTTTTTAAATTCTTTATTAGAGCCATATACCCAGTTGCCTAGATTATACACTTAACTGTTGTCGGCTGTGTAAATAGAGATATGTTTTCGTGGTGTTCTTGAGAAAATGAAAGTAATATCCATTGAATTTAAAAAACGGTCCGGAGTAAAGTTATCACAAAATTAATTATTGAAGTTATACTTCTTTAGGCGCGTTATGAAAAATTGATGAGAGTGAAATTTTACGATGCGCGCCCACCGTGACACAAAATGAACAGAAATGAACTTGCCTACAAAATCGCTCATTACAATACGACCGACGTAACTTGGCGAGTCTGAATATAGCCGCAGGTGAACTTTCCGAACCGTACCGAGAATTGCCGAATATAAACGATGTCAAGAAAAGGGATGTCCAATATGCGTGTTTGAGGATGTTGTTTAATCGATTTTTTTTTCAAATTGATTAAAATTTAAATTAAAATAAAAGAAATAAATTTAATAAATATAAAGTATAACTTCTTACGCGCGTACATAAGTACAAGCACCCTTTTTTTTTAAAAATGAATACAGTTTTTTAATTAGTCGATGTTTCCATTTCCATTGTAATTCCATTGTAATATTACATTTAACATAATAATTAAGTCAACGAAGAAGTTGATTGAAGACTTTTGGCGGGAACGTGTTTTTTTACTGCTTCTTCAGTACATAATAATAGTGGCATATTATTAAGTGTTATTTTTTTAATTGCCGTATAGGCAGACGAGCGAGCATACGACCCATCTGATGGTGAGTGGATACCGTCGCTCATAGACGTCAGCAATGCCAGGGGCAGAGCCAAGCCGCAGCCTACCGTTTAATACTCTCCACAAGCCTCGTTTGAAAAAGGTGTTTACCATTTATTAACTGTGAGTAGCAAGTGCTCAAGTGTAGGAAAATGCAACAAAGTCGCTGAATGTTATTTCGCGAAATTCTCCAAAAAGTTAAGTCATAGTTTAAGAATATACTTAGACCATTTTACTGAGACTTTTTTGTTTTATTTCACAATGTTTCATTCAATTTTATTCCAATATCTTAAATAAATCAAATTCGTTCCATTTCAATCTACATAATTTTTCATATAGCAGAATAAATATAGGTCAGTGTCGCAAGAAAAAATACGGGATATTTTTAAATGTTTTATTGGTAAAGTATTTATTTGACACGACACGGGTTGCGCAATATAACGATTTGATGTTACGATTAAAATAAATAAATGCGGCGCGCTCGGTCTCTACAGAGTGAGGTCGAGGTGGTCCCGCTGCGGGTGGTGCGGCGGCGTGTTGTCCAGCAGGTTGACCCAGTCCCGCAGGCGCCGCTCGCGACAGTACACGTCGCGCGACAGCAGCCGCCCGCCCCCCGCGCCGCCCCCCGCCTCACCCGCGCCGCACAGCGCGCCGCCCAGCCACGCGCAGCTCATGTCGTGCGCCGGCGCCCGGTGGAACTTGAACTCGCCCAGCCGCAGCCGCGAGCTGTACGGCGGCAGCGTGCACAGGTGCGCCAACTCCTGGGACAGGCGAGCGCGCAGCCCTGGCAGCGACGCCGCGCCGCCCGTCAGCAGCACGTTGGCCGCCAGCGCGCGCCGCACGTCGATCGGACACTGTGCGGCACACGCGACAGCGGTTACACCACCGTCCGAGGACAATGGCAACGTCAGGGAAGTTTTCCCATCTTACCATTAACTTTCACGAAATTAAGCATTTTTTTAGTCGCAGATACGGGCCTACAGTTAATTATGCGTATGAGATGTAACGTGATCCGTCATCGGGCTGATGTAGCTCATAGAGGGTGTTGGAACACTCCTCTGAGCGCAGTGGTGGCGCGCTGACCTGCATGATGCACTGCAGCACGATGTCGGGGAGGGAGGCCAGCTCGTTGTCGCGACGGAACAGCGGCTCGGCGGCCAGCTCCCGCGCGCGCCCCGACACGCACACGGCGCCGAGCCGCGCCAGCGGGTAGCGCACGCCGCGCGCCGGCTCCGGCGGGCTGTCTGACTGCCAGCGCAGCGCGCGCGCCCGCGGGCTCACGAAGCACGTCTTCACTGCGAAACGAAGCAAACTCTGGCATCGTTTTGAAGTCGTCGGGGCCTAAAGGATAAGACATCCGGTACATTCGTATCGAGCGATGCACCGGTGTTCGAATCCCACTGGCGGGTACCAATTTTTCTAATGAAATACGTACTCAGCAAATGTTCACGATTGTCTTCCACGGTGAAGGAATAACATCGTGCAATAAAAATCAAACCCGCAAAATTATAATTTGCGTAATTACTGGTGGTAGGACCTCTTGTGAGTCCGCACGGGTAGGTACCACCGCCCCGCCTATTTCTGCTGTGAAGCAGTAATGCGTTTCGGTTTGAAGGGTGGGGCAGCCGTTGTGACTATACTGAGACCTTAGAACTATATCTCAAGGTGTGTGGCGCATTTACGTTGTAGGTGTCTATGGGCTCCAGTAACCACTTAACACCAGGTGGGCTGTGAGTTCGTCCACACATTTAAGCAACAAAAAAAAAATCGTCCGCATCACCTGCCCCGCCTGCTCGGTTTCATTAACATCAGAATGACACGTGAAACGAGGCAGCGGCCGACCAGCAGACGCCTCGGCGTACACCCCCCTGACCCCGAATCATCGATTTTATGTTAGGTTTGTTAAATAAACATTTTTATAACCAGCTGTATGACTAATATTCTTATTTCGCTGAGATGACGGACTTTTTAAGAAATGAATATATTAAAAATTGAGACTTGTATGGGCGGACGTCGCGCGGTACCTGTGATGTCCTCGAGCACATGGTCGGGCAGGTGCAGGTCGGAGCCGCAGTCCTGGCGCAGCAGATGCAGCAGCTCGGCGCGCACGGCGGCGGCGCCCAGCGGCTGCGCCTGCACGGCGCGCAGCACCACGCACGAGTGCACCACTGCAAGTTGCCGTCTGTTCTCATGCCCTCGCCTGTCGTGCAACACTGCCTGGGGCCAGTGGCCTACAGCGCTGCGCTGTCTAGTCACTCGGTTAAGAACGAAAAAAAGCATTCGTATTTTTTCCGCAAAGGATTTTTTAGAACATAGTATAAAAGCAATTTTCAATTATTATTTTTTGTTGGTACGTTTGTTGTTTGTGCATCTCCGCCACGACTGAAAGGCTCTGCGGCTGTCTATGCGAGTAGACAAGAGTTGGTTTCGAGCAGAGCATAGTTTTATTTCATGAATGTTGCAGAAAAGTAAACATTATTTACATATCTTTGGAACTTCCTTTCATGCTGTTAAATGTTAGAAATTCTATGACAAATATGAATAGTATGAAAGTAGCTCTGTCTGTCTGTTACATTGTCACGCCCAAACAACTGAAACTGTTTTAGTGAAATTCACCGGTAGCATACAGAAACGTAATAGTTGAAATTCTGGAAAATGATATTGGCTAACGTACACCACCCCGCTGACCGGAGCCCTGTCCCTAGCCTCTGTGTAGAAGCTTGTATATAAAAAAGGGTGCGTGTACTTATGTACGCGCGTAAGAAGTTATACTTTATTTTTATTAAATTTATTTCTTTTCTTTTAATTTAAATTTTAATCAATTTGAAAAAAAAATCGTTTAAACAACATCCTCAAACACGCATATTGGACATCCCTTTTCTTGACATCGTATAAATTCGGCAATTCTCGGTACGGTTCGGAAAGTTCACCTGCGGCTATGTTCAGACTCGCCAAGTTACGTCGATCGTATTGTAATGAGCGATTTAGTGGGCAACTTCATTTCTGTTAATTTTGTGTCACGGTGTGCGCGCATCGTAAAATTTCACTCTCATCAATTTTTCATAACGCGCCTAAAGAAGTATAACTTCAATAAAATGTTCGATATTCTAATTGTGTAATGAATTTGTAGTTAGAATTACGGTTACCGGCGGCCACCTCGGCCTCCCGGGCGCCCAGGGACACCACCAGCGTGACGGGCGCGCCCAGCGTCATCGCGCACATCCGCGGACTGTCCGCCCACACTGCGCCAGACACCTGAGAACTCTCCGCCTGTGTATCTGTCTCTATGATGGGACATGGTGGTTCATATGGTGAAGGCCATGAAATGTTTCATTTGGAAATAGTTAAATCAAATACACTATGGCCTGTCTTAACATTATAAATCTCATTAGTCCAATGGACTTATCACTTTAAATTTGTCCTAAAAAGGGCAAGATCGTTGTCATGTCATTTAGCTCAGATACCAAAGATATTTTATTACGTTCAAAAAATTGTTCTTCTGTGTAATATTTTGTAATAGTTTTNAGGCCATGAAATGTTTCATTTGGAAATAGTTAAATCAAATACACTATGGCCTGTCTTAACATTATAAATCTCATTAGTCCAATGGACTTATCACTTTAAATTTGTCCTAAAAAGGGCAAGATCGTTGTCATGTCATTTAGCTCAGATACCAAAGATATTTTATTACGTTCAAAAAATTGTTCTTCTGTGTAATATTTTGCAATAGTTTTCTTGTTATGATTTATTCCACTTCACAAATGAATTTATTTTTTTACTAATGCAGGGAAAACTCTCGAGGGCAAGTTACATGACAGTAACTGTACCTTATCATCCCAAGTAGGTTCAAACACACAGATTATCTGTCTTCAAACAAGACCCTGTATGAGTAAGTGAATAAAAACGAATGTTACTTTTTAAATATACTCAAGTTAGACATTAATTACTTTAGTTGTTCATTTAAGTTCATTACAGTTTTCTCCTTTGTCTCTTACCAGTATCAAGTTTATTAAAGAGCCCAAATATTATAATAACAGTTTGAAATTTGGAAATTGTCAGTTTTATTTTAAATTGTCTCTAACAACCTGAAAATTTGGTTCATAAAACACAATGAAGTCTTGAGGAGTCTGTGATTATGGTCAAATTTCAATGATTGTTGGAACAATAATATTGAAAGCTAATATTCAGCATACCTCATAATGTGTGAACAGTACTTTGGCTAGTGTTTCCCTGAACAGAGTAGGAGTGAGCAGGGACTCCACTACAACCACTTTACGTTCCTTTGGATTCACCAGGACATGCCTATGAAATCAAGATTTTTCAAATAAGCTTATTCTGAAAAAACAGAATTCTATTGCAATGCACATTTCACTATGGTGATAATGTTTTTATTATTATTATAATAGTAATTAGTAAAGTTAATAAACTTGTTTGTTATAAAAGACTATGTCACAGGTTGTAGTTATGAAATGAGCCCTCTTCCAAATTTCTGTATTTCCTTGAAACATCTTTCAAACAAACTCTTTTTTAGTGGTAGTGGCTGGACTATGTCCTTCACATTGCTAGTCTTTATGGGTCATAGTAACCACCTACCACCAGGTGGGTTATGTGCATGCTGTCATGAAATGCTGACTTCACCAAGTGTGTGATAATAATAATTGTCAATGATATTGATGTCAATGACATTTATCTTTTATCAGCTTATTATTATTATTTATTAAATGTGAAAGTATTTTGTAAGCATTATGGACATTAAACATACAAACCTAAAATACAATAAATGTAACATATTAACTAGGTTATCATATAGCTCCTCAGGTGTAGAGTACTCATAAACCTTCTTGAATCTTCTTTCTGTCGAGCACCAGAATTGTGATCTTATAATACATCGTGGAGCTGCTTCACCAGTAAAACCAAACCTGAAGCATTAAAATGAATACAATGGTTAAATATTAGAAATTTTAATGTATTTCAGAACAAGCCCAGTATCTTTTATAATGAAATAAAGTGTACTTGTAAAATGGAAATAATTATCACAGAATATTATGCTAATATAAATTAGGAGCAATTGAATTTTTTTACATGCTTAATTCAGTGATGATTTTATGACTAAGATGGTGTAGGTAATTAAGATTTTTTTTCATTTTGTAATCATATCTAGTAAAATTCAGGACTCAAATTAAGCAAGTTTAAAAAGGTGTGGAATTGATTGGATTTATCAACTTAACGTGTTCTTTCGTTCTAAATGGTTAAATATAATGAGTTGCAATTAAGTTACTTGGTATATTCACTGCCCAAATCTAGCACAACGGCTTGTTTCTCTTGTATTAGAGCTATCCCTTCGTATAAAGCCATATTTTATTTAAGCATCCCTTTTTACAGTTTAAAGACAATACGTTGACTTTTCGTTTCTAATTTATATCTATACTTTTGTTATCATACATTAAATTAAATTGGAAAACATAAACTGTCATGCAAATCTTTTTTGACAGGTCGAAATGTGATGTCATGTTACGATTTATCATTCGTCGATTAGACAAGCAAAAGGAACAATACCCATGCGTGAGATATTTTGTACAAAAATAAAAATCGTGTCTAGTATTGTGAGATGGATAGGAATATCAACATGAAACCAAGCTTGATTTGGTCATCTTCAAAGTACCTAAGGGTTTATTAAGTATCAATCGTGGGCATTACAAACAGCCCACAAGACGCAAACAGATTGCAGGCATTCAAAAATTATTTTATCAGTTTATAAGAAGATTCGAAAGTAAGACAGATTGAAAAACTTATGAAGGAGATGGAGCTGATTGTCCAAAAGCCCTATCAGCTCTTACAGTGCCTGACACTCCCAGCTCGTTACTGAGAGGTATGGAATTTGCCCCTTCGACGGCTCTAGTCGTCACCTCAGCTCAATCACCTCAGACGAAGGACCTGGATAAATTAGCGATAATAGCACTCAACGTAGCACTGTTGTCACACATACTAGTTGTATTGTGACAATACATTAAGGCTAAAGGAAATACTTCTAAGGTTTTCCTTTACGTATGATTTTTAAGTGTTAAGTTTACACACAGACACACGCATATTATAAACAACATTTACTCCAAGTTGTCTGTTTTTATTATTTGATTATTAGTAAAACCCGTCAGAGCTCTATGAACATTATTCTTTTTCAAGTATTCCATAGATTTTTTAAAATATAATATTCGTTTATCCAAATCATAACTGAAAATTTTAGAAATCAGTGAAAACGTCAATTGAGCTTCAAGAGATGCTCCGTCGTACCTGTGGCGATTGGTTTAGTTCACGATCGTCGTACATGTGGCGATTGGTTTAGTTCACGATCCATTTGTGGTCTTCGAAGAGCCTATAGACACAGCAACTAGCATGTTGTCGCCCTCCTCGAGTCATGGGCTCCGTACCTAGTTTATTAGTAGTACAATTGGAATTGTTGGAGAGAACGCTGGAATCCTTAGTTGCGAGTCGACAACACAACCCATAATAGGTAAAACATAGGTTCATAAATACTACCGTTTTTAATGTATTTCCTTTAATTGAATACACTGTGTAGGTAAAGTAGGGAATTATTTTAATAGATAATAAATTAATTTATTAATTCTTTTGTATATGAGAGTAAATGTAGGATACTTTTCGAAGTAATCCTACATTTTTGCGTTTAAAACTCTTTTCTTTGACTTTAATTACTGATTACCTGAATGCACTTAGTTTGACAGCATCGAGGGCCGAGTATGTTAAATTGAAAAGTTTAATTAATTATTAATTTCGTTTGGTACGTACAACACCTTCGAGTAAAAATGAAAGTTACGCACACAGACAAGATAACCCGAGCTCTGCGGTACGTTACAGTGTCTATAAAATAGATGTAGGTACTATCGCAACTTTATAGTGTCCAGGTTGATAAACTACGCGAGTAAGCACGCTAGCAGTAAAGATGTAGATTAATGTTGCGAATTTCTACATATACTATCAAGTGCGTGATGATGACAGCACTGTAGTCAGTATGGTCGTTGCAAGTCGGACACGAATCTTCGACGCCATCATAACCTACTTCCCTGCTATTCTACTGCTGCTACATAGTAATATAATAGTATCACCATTTCATTTATAATTTACTTACCTAGCTCTCTAATTTAGATCTTGGTGAGTGGTCATGAATTCAAAACTCGTTTAAAGTAGGACATGTCATGTTTTGAAATTCATTGTTTATGAACGCAGTCGTTCTAGGTGGCCGGGATAAACTCTCCTTAAATGAAAAGTGTGAATAACAACACAACAACACGGGGCACGCGGCGAGAACGCCTGCGCGTGTCGAACCGCCATGCGCCATGCCTGTTTCTACCCTACCTATTCGATGGTAGCCTAAGGGACTATCCCACCTACGACTGGACGGATAAGTGAGCTCACGGGCTCAACCTGAGAGAATTTGCTAACACTAGCCCTAGCAAGAGCAAGAGCGGAATCGCGACACAATGAGAAGATTCGGCGAGAAACTCAATGGGCTGTGTCTATGGTTTAGTTCATTCCTCGAACTCTTCGTCGTAATCGACTAGTTCGAGGACGGTGGCTGGTACTCGAGAGGCCTAAAAGCACAAGAATGAATCCAGAGGATCACACAAGACATGATTCGGGCGACGGCGGCTTTGCGTTGCCCCATCGCGGTCGGATAAGTAATTAGCGACTGCCACGATAAGAAAGTTTTCGTGTCGCGCCGTTTTGTCGAAGTAGCGTTCTGAAGCTTCGTTAAGATACTTACGTAAAGGTGCTAAATGAAGGTCGTCGTGTAGATCTACATTCCTCACATACCATGGTGCTCCGACGGCAATCTTACCGAAACGGGATTGGATGATCTGAGGAGAGTTAATGTGTGTAGGGGCTGTGTGAGCGAACATTACACTTCCATAGATCATAACACAATGTATACAAGTTTTTTAAAGTGTCACCTTGTTATCAAGGGACAATTTACTTCGTTTGCAGATCATGGGGTAGAGTCGACCGAATAGGAATGCGGCTAGGTCGCGTACTGACTTGATGTGGGATGTGTGTCCGAATGTCATGACCCTGTCGAAAGGGACGCCTAAGTATTTAGCCTTCGAAGCCCACGGCACGGGCTGGCCAAAGATTTTTATGGCAGCACTGGAGTTACCGCGCCTAAATGGTGACGAGATGCAAGCAGTATTGTCTGAAGGGCGACCCTTTTTGAAGAGCACAGCTGTGCAATTCGTGGGGTTGATGTCGATGCGCCACTTCTGGAACCACTGTCCTAAATTGGTGGCCGCGATCTGGTGTTTCTACTGTGAAACCTCAGGGTTCCATTTTGGGTCCTTTTTTATTTCTAATATATATAAATGATTTACCTAGTTTTATTGAGTCCCGACACGAGATCGTATTATTCGCAGATGATACATCTTTATTATTTAAAATTAAACGACAGTTGCAAGCCTATGACGAAATGAATGATGCGATTTCGTGTGTGATTCATTGGTTTCGTATCAAAAATCAATTATTGAATAGTAAGAAAACTAAATGTATTAAATTTAGTCTAAAATGTATTAAATCACCTTTAAATGTGAGACAAGTAGATAGTAATGTAATTGTTTCTAAGGAATCATTGGAGCTTGTTGAGTCAACTGTATTTCTTGCTATAACAGTGGGCTCCAAATCTTACTCGAGCTTAGCGAGCAATTTACCATTGGCGAGTAAGCTCAGCTCTGCAGCATACGCAGTAAAAAAAAATTGAATGTGAACAAACGCGGACACGGCTCGCTTAGTTTATTTTAGTTACTTCCACAGTGTCATGTCCTATGGCATTTTGCTATGGGGCAATGTGGCCGATGTAGAAATGATATTTATTCTGCAGAGAAGAGCTATACGTGCTATTTATAACATGCACTCAAGGGAATCCCTGGGGGAAATTTTTTAAGAAATTAAAGTTCTCACTATGCCATCCCAGTACATTTTTGAAAATTTGATGTATGTTCGTAAACATATTGAGGAGTTTCCTAAAATGTCGGACATACATAATAGAAATACTAGGAACAAACACAAGCTTGTTGTGCCGATGAGTAGGTTACATAAGATACGAAATTCATTCGGGTGTTTGTCTGTGCGCCTGTACAACAAAATCCCACAAATGTTCAGAACCTACATATACATAGGTTTAAGAAAACTATTAAAAAACATCTGTGCAATAAAGCTTACTATAAAGTCAATGATTATCTAGAAGATTGCACAAAGTGGGAATGAGTTGCTCGCTCCGGGCATTTCAATATTGTAATAATTGTTACGTTATAATACTCATTTTAAAATCTTTAAAAAAAAACTAATATTAAAAAAACAAAAACAAAATGTGTGCAATTCACACGTGGTAGAAGTGAAACCTTCCAAAATTAAAATACAATTATCCTAAACGTCTTAAGTATATGTAAAATTTTGTCATTAGTAAATAATTGTAAGGTAGCGCCCTCTGTGAATTGATATTTTAATTTCACGTATAATCCTAAATTAAAATTCACTACACGAGCTTTCATACACACGTTAGTATTAAAAAATCTCACAGATGGCGCTGTATTAAATAGTATGTATATTTCTGTCTCATTCTTTGCTGGCTTCATCCTACACATTTTTGTATTTGTGTCTCTTACCTGTCGCTTTTTCCGTTGCATCCGGTTTGAAATCACAACGATTCTAAAGAAGTTTTCACTTCAAAAAGAAAAAAGACAATATGCCCGCTGAGTTTCTTGCCAGTTCTTCTCAGGACGGAGGCTAGTTTTTGTGAATTGACGGTAGTTCTTTTTGACGTTCAACAAGTATGTAGGTACTTTCATTTATGTTGAATAATTTTTTTTTTTGATTTTGATTTGATTTGATTTGAAACAATTTTGCGTTTTGTTTAGTAGGGAGGACGGTAGGACGTCGCTGAACCAATACAAGTGAGACTTCAAACTGTCTCAAGACGACAGCGACATTCGTGTTGTTAGCTCGTAATACCTACATGAGTTTTGGGACGGGTTCTTAATGGCTTCTACGTTTCGTAAATTATATCTTTTCTAAGAGCCATAATAATTACTTGATATAATCGCGATACGCCCCAAGAAGCTCGGCACAAACAGTTGACTACGTATGCACCCGCATATCGCTTGTTGGGCCACCCACAATCGATTGTTTCATTAAGGTCTCCAGGCCGACATATTACGACTCTCAAATCTTGTAGTTCTTTTGCAGTGACTATAAATATGCTTGTGACAAGAACGTAATTGGAGACATGCATTTCAAAAAGCCCCTGCGCCGCCCGGCGTGTGTTACAACATCTCATCCCGAGCCAGTGCTAACAGCTCCGCTGGTGACGGAGACTCGCAGACCCGCCGCCGAGTGCGGACCGACTCGTAGAAGACGTTACGTTGGTTGTTTCGCAAAGATGCTGGACTCATTTCTTAATAATTACTCCTGATATGGCACAGAATTGTCTTCGCAGTGTAACAAGTTGGCTGTTGTTATACATACAACTTTGTGTTTGTTCTAATGGTGTTAGGTCAGGTGTTGGAGTAAAAATAAACAGAAACAATAATTTAACTATTTATTTCATTAAAAATTCCGCTATAATACATATTTACAAACATAAAAACGAATCAAAAATATTTGTCACGGTATAAAAAGCTTGAGCACAAATCGCGCCGAGCGCCGAGCGCCGAGCGCTCCCGAGCGCGGCCGAGCGTGGCCGAGCCCGGCCGAGCGCTGTTCTCACTACACAAGTGGATTACCCGAGCAATGTACTGCCAGATTTATTTTGAAACTTTAAAGTTAAATGACGTGAACACTGTCTCGTAGTTACTGCTGTGTATAAATAGAATAAATATGGATGAAGCGAGTTGATTTTATTTTGTGCGTTGGCAGTGCATTGTCCGACTACGAGTATAATACATTAATGATAACACACGCACGTCAGTGGAACCGCCTCTAGTAAACAGGGGGTGTGCGCCTACCAGCCTCCCAGCGGCTTGTCTAACATTCGACACAAATATAAGGCAATACCTCTTTAAAAGCGGAAATAATTACAAAATGTTCAATACAGTAGTAAACAAATGAATTTCAAGTTATTAATAAACTACGTTTTAGTCCAATATGCAGCTCCTTTCAGAATTCACATCAGTTTTTCGCACAGTGCACAGTGCACAGTGCACAATTGCGCAGTGTACATAGTTCATAATTAGCACCCAGGTCATTTAAAACGTTTAAAAACAAAAGAAGCTGTCAACTACTTTAGGAACAAAATAGCTCAGCCACAATGACAGGTGACGACTGCCAATTGTACATCGACATCGACATCGACATCGAGTAGGAGAAGTGCGACTTGATGTTCTGTTAGAGTTGATACTGCGCACGGGTGCGTTCACACCCGCCGACACCTCCACCGGGACGAGTCCGCTGACGCTCCCACCAGCCACTAACTAACTAACTACAATGTTCTAAACACATTAAATGATGGAGGTGATGAGTCGCGCCTTGAAGTTGACTATCCTCTCAGAGGTTTGCGCGATGCGCAGGATGAGGTCCTGGATGAGGTTGGCGATGCCGCGGTTGGCGATGATGAAGAGTCTCGTGATGGGCCCGGGCACCCCCTCGGTGAGGTTGTCTCCCTTGGCGGCGCTCCCGTCGTCTCCTTCGGCGGCCGCCTCACCGCCGCTCGCGCCAGACGACGAGCCCGCTACCAGCTGCCGACGTACAAGGCAATCGTTTAACTAACACTTGTATATTCATTTTATATTCAAATTTCTAAATTAGAATTCATGTTTCGTATTCAACGCGGTAAATTGTGTACTTTAAGAAGCACCCGCATCGAGTCGGAACTGAGCCGATGGCAGAGTGCCGTCACCGACGATGTGACCTGGACGCGGCGGAGCGCACGATCGCGCTCGAGGGAGAAGCGGCACCGTCTTCTCTCTCTACAAATCGATATCGAGTCGTTGAGTGATGAGTCGTGGCGGGCAATGATTGATTTCTGCGAGTACACCATTTTGTGGAAGTATGTGGTGGGATTAGAGAGAAACCACCCTTTTCTTTCCAACCCTACCTGTCACTATCGCCATCTGACTTAGTGAACTGGCCCCCTGACAATTTTAGGTGCCGAGTGTCGGTTTGAGAATCGGCAAAAGGAGACCTAAGAAGCTCCGACTTGAGAAAAAGCAACTCGATGGCGGGTCACCTCACCCCCTGACCCAGGACGGTTCTAGCCCAGGGCTGTGAGTCGGTGGCTTCGCCTAGCCTAAAATGTTTCAATCGGTCCAACCGAAAGTCCGGCGAGTTCCTCTCGATCAATATTAAAGTAAGATTAGAATTGAAGCTAACTACTTCAGCGGCTTCTAAATTACGGTGTTTTCTGGAAGCAAGACTACGTGTGTTTGTTAGTAATATAAAAGTACATAAATAATTAGACAGACATAAACTATTACAGATAGTGAAGGTGCGTGATGTAGAACGTATTTTGTACAAAAAAATAAAGTAAAATTTGAGTACATTTTATATGTACAATAAAATAGAATCAGCAACAGCGATTACAAGACGTTGCTGCATCGACGCGGCATGACGCGGCATGACGCGGCACGACGCCGCGACGTAACGCTGTCCGTCTGGAACTATATATGTGTGCAAGTTTTTGTGTGTGTGTAACAATGAATATTCACGAATTGATACATTTTTCTTAAAGTGTATTTAAATTCTACGTCGCTTATTCTACGTTGGTCAAATATTTATCGGACACGAACGCAGTGCTTAAGTTATGCGAGTACACCCTCCTAGTCCAATGGCGAGGATATTGCTACTTTGAAAATCCGTCCATGGACGAACCACACTCTATGATTTTATTAGTAAGTACTTTTGGGTAGCATCCTAGTATTATTAACAATCTACAGTCTAATATCTACTTAAAGCTGGTCCGTTGTGGCAATATTCTAACTACATCGGTAGTGTGGTGCTTGTAGGTGTGGGTGTGTGTGTACTTGTGGATCATTGGGGTCCAGTGTGGCTGTGTGTGAGGCGGTGAGGCCCACGTTGAGCGAGTCGGTGCCCGCGAACAAACGGAATGCCGAGCCGGCCGCGCGCGCCATCGCCTCCGCCGGACGCTGAAAATATATCTAATCACCCCCGGCACAAAGTGCACGTGCACTGCACACTTCTGCCGCCAGTAGAGCTAGCAGAGATCTTTTTAGACGTGCCGCATCGTACATCCGCCACTCGTCTAAACTAATTATTCCTAAATTTTTTCGCGTTGTATGTGCTTTGTTTTCTATAACCGATAAATCTCGAATGATTAACTTTAATTTGAAGAATATAATCAATTCGCAAAACTATATTTTAAGTTGGACAGTAGATCTCGGCATGTCGTCCGTTGTTACTACTACTCCTCAAGGGAATTGTTGCGTTATCATCGTACTCATCAAATCCGGATGCAGAGCTGCTTCTGCTTCCGTAGGTGTAAAGACGTGTGGTGTTTTTGTTTTGCTGACAAATTTGTTACAGTTGTATATTCAGCAACACGTACAATGAATTTTGTCGGCTGATTTTTTGTCTTGAACAATTTAACTTACGTTTTTAGAAACGCTTTTTGTAAACGCGACAGCCAGACGAACACAAGGACATTATTTGCTAATCTGTAGTTCAGCCGCAGTTGTAGCCCTCTACGATTACTTCCCGTGAAAGTTTATATTTAACGATCCGCCATATATCTGTCTCGTGTTTTAAACCAAACTACCATTTTATTTTAAAGGAATATTCAATTGTTTTGTATTTTCACAAAATATATTTCATACCTGAATCATCGTCTGTCAATCAGTACCTATTTACACAATAACTCCTATTTACTATTAAAGTGATAGGAAGAGCAGAAATATTGATGATTTTAATGATGTTCTCTTTCGACCCGGGGGTGTCATGTCCCGGGGTGTAGAAGAGTTTGGATTCCGCCATTGAAAATGTTTTTGTAATAGAAGTTCTACGATTGATGTTTATCAAAGCCGACGTTACGTATACAGACGAATATTAATTACGAGCGGATCCGACAGAGGTTGTCCTGTACACACGTCTTAAATACGAAAATTTCAACCTTTTATTATAAAATATATATTTTTTGGTGGTAGTGCAAATTATCAAAATACGTCATTCTCGAATCCTCAGGAGCACACAAAAAAAGTTAACAAAATCTGTCCGACCGCTTACGAGGAGTTAACTAACATACACACGGACAGAAGAATTACACCTCTATATATTTAAATTCTAAAGTAGCAGAACGCCATCTAGTGCGGTCGTAATGAATGACTTATACGATATTATTACGTGCTCTTCTTGCGGTTTTGCAGCCGATTTTAACTGTTTTATTTATAATGATACCAACAGTGTTGAGTGAGTACTAAATTCTGAAAAAATAACATAAATACAATTACGAAGAACAAAATATAATAGAAGAATAGAGAATCTATGGAAAAAATATATATTACCATATAATGTTAGTGTTGAATGAGATAGGTCAAAATGTACTAGTGTGATCTCTTTATTAATATTATTATGTGGAATTGGCTGTTTCGTTTTCATTTCTTTCTTTCATTTCATTTATTTTCACTTTATTTTAAACTTAATGTATGTGCTTAAGATATTAGATGTAACCCAGTTTGCAGTATGTACGTCTGTGCGGTGCTCGCGGCCGCCGCGGCGCCGGGGAATGCCGTCCCCGCCCTGACACATGAGGTCAAAAGCCCGAATGCATTATATAGCAGCTGTCCTGTCCTTGATTGCGGACACTATCACTCATTTGCTACTGAAATAAGTAGGGCAGTGCCACCACGGGAAGATCCTACCACTAGACCTAGACACTCGCGTGCAAGTACTGGGTCGATGACCTTATACTCGTAGTTATTTAGAGAGGTTCTATGTAGATGTCGGTGCCACAGCGAACACAGGTTTTTCTTAAGAACTTTCGAAGAAAACTCGAATATGACTTGTAACATGATATACCGTAATGTTCAGGTAGAGGTTTAGACAATAGTCGGTCGTGCGGGTGCACATGTAGCCGTTATATGTGTTCTCGTGTCCTTACCCTGACGATGTCGAATAAGAAGTTGCCGGAGCCGCCGCCAGAGGCGCCACCTGCCCCTCCGAACGACAAGAACCTGAAAGTAGATAACAATTATTTACTTACACAGAGTGAGCTGCGCCGTTAACAACTCAAAATGCAGAGTATGAAGGCAGCCACGCGCACGGCACCGCACAGCTGACCTACCTCGCTCCTCGCCGGCTACACGGCTGCCTGCGCACATGCTAGTAGCCACTAGCTGTGTAAACTAGAACGTGAGAAGTTATCGGAAAAACTCAATTGTATTGCGTTGCATGCCATTATTATTATTATCATTATTTAGGCGAAGTGATTGCCCTAGAATAGTACTCTTAGTCTGTATGTATCGACAGCCGTGAGACGCGGAGACGCTGTGGTCTGAGCTCTTGTTAATGTAACATTATTGTAATAGTGACATTAGCCGGGTCGTCCCCCGGTCGCAATGTGCGCCGTCTTGCTGTTCAGATTATTTTAAAATGAAAGTCATACTATTGTAATGTTTTTACATTACGAGTGTTCTAGGAATCTTACATAATTTTGTACTGTCGTTACAAGTTTATTGAAATGGCGTGAAATTAATTATTTCTAAAGCGAGCTATGAATAGCTCGAACGTGAGTTTTGTGTGTATTTAAATTGTTTTGTAATGTTGGCTGCACTGAGAGCGCAAGGCCTTTGTTCTCAGCTGCATTGCTGTCGATAGGTTTTGTAACGCTTTCAACGAATGTAAAGTTATTAGTCGTAAACAGTCTATAACCAGGAATTATTTTTAGTCTTTTAAATATGATTCGCTCATCGTTAGTCAAGATATTTATGTAAGAGTAATTATTGAGTGTCCGGTCCGTGGGTACCTCTTGTTCCTATTCTCCTCGCTGCCGTCGGCGTCGTCGAGAGTGATCTCGTCGATGCTGGCGCTGTTGGTCTGCGCGGCGGTCTGCTGGTCCTCGCTCGCGGCGCCCTGCTGGTCCGCACCGGCGGCGCCCGGCTGGCTGCCGCTCTCGCCGAACGCAACGCGAACCTCTGCTTGCTGGGACTCCGCCCCAGATAACAGGTTCTCTTCCGCTATGGAGTTCTGCAAACAAAACGCAAAGCTTCACACTCTGAACCCACAGCGGCCGCCATGATCGTTAGTTCCGCGACTGTCTCTGTGTCGCGGTGTGACGAGAGCCCAGGTGTGCGAGCTCACGTCTAATGTATAATGTGTGTATTAATGAATACAACATGGCACGAAATGGCGCGTTGCAGCGGGTCGGTGACGGGCGGAGCGGGACGCTCAGCACCTCGCTGCGTAGGTTGGTGCTGCGAGCTCCCGCTGCGGTAATGGATGACCGCGGTCGTCGCGTGATCTCGGCCGTGCAATTGTCCCAATTACTCATGCGGTTTAACTGACTATGTGCACGAGCCGAGTCGACAACTTAGAAGAAGAATGCGGTCGGAGTGAGTGAGTGATCGGTGACGTCAATGCGATGGAGTGACGATGCGATGACAAGGGCTCTGCCGCTTCGAGGCAGGCTGTGGTTAGTGCGGCGCATACCGGCAGGAAGAACAGAGCCCGCTTCCTGCGCGACGCAGGCTCTTCGGTCGTGGTAGGGGTGCTCGTAGTTGTGGTGGTGGGGCTCGTAGTTGTGGTGGTGGTGGTGGTCGTGGTGGTGGTGGAGGTGACCGCCTCCTCGTCATCGTCGTCATCATCGTCATCGTCATCGTCCAGGTCGACGGTCCCGCTGCCGCCGCCCGTGTTCCCGGCGCTCCGGTTCCCTCCTAGGAACGCTCTCAGGAATAGCGGCCCGAATGTTTGGAGCACGAAACTCGTTATTTGCTGTACTTTCTGATCGATTATCTAAAACATACACCGCCCTTACGACCTAGTTCGTGGCCTGCGAAACAATACGCTTGTAGTCGATTTGTTAGACCTGCTGTTCTTCATAGAAGCAACCAGAGCTTAGTTATAGTGAGAAGGACGACAGAGGGGGTGGTTACCTGCGTGAGGGAGGGGAATAGTTGCCGCAGGATGCCGATGGTGCGCTTGTTCCTCTCACTGAGCTCGGAGCCGGGGGCGCCCAGGTTCAGGGTTGCGAGGGTCTCCTGAAACAAGACACCAAATAATTTCAAACTTGATTTTTTGAGCCTTTCACGTCACAAATCTGATGACCGTAGCACATTCTATTACTCACTCAATATTATCATTATTAGCACGTAAACAATGAACCCCCTCAACTGAATGTTCTCGTCAGTGTGACGTCAGTAATTAGACAGTACAATTTAAAGACAAACAAAATATAAATTAACAATAAATTATCGTAAGCTGTGTGAGATAACATTGATTCGCTTGTTAGTTAATGCTCAATCACAATTCAATAGGTACTCATGTACCATTAAAGCATTGTTAGTTTGATTCACGGACCCAAGGGTTCATCACCTTGAGGTCGTGTCAAAAATAAAACAATGTCCAACGATATTACAACAAAGCCTGGTTATTAGGTAATCGAGACATTGATGAGTGGTAGGCGATTAGCGACAGGCGTGCGAGCGAGCGGCTCTTACGAAATATCGAAGATCTCTTACGACATTTCTTAAATTCATTTGACATTTAGATATTACATCAAACTTTAGAGTTATGTGTTTTAGTAGCACACGATTACATATTTCATAATTAATTATTTTGTTTCGAGAACGAAGAGTATGTCGAGTGGGTGTGCTTAAAATCGTGGATAGAAAAATTGATTTACAATAAATTTAAGGAGATCAAAGTGCAAGTTCGTTATTCTCATTGTAATAGTAAAAGGAACGTTTATAAACCAATAATAACACGACTATCTTACAAACGGGACTTGGTCGTAGATTGCAATTAATGTGCTTCTAATTATTTCTTGAATTTTTGATATTTTGTAGAGTTAGAGTCAGTGACTGGTAGAGTCCACCACCAGACAGAAGAGCGCGCCGCTGGGTGGCTGGGCGCCCGTCATCCTCGAGCGATACCGAGTGGCGCTCCAAAATATTTGCTGACCGTGTCGGTAATCTTCAAATTACGCAATCGGACTTTTTACTTTTGACTTTTACATGCGAAGAAGAGTAGGTACATTTTAGAGCGACTTTAGTTTTAATTGGGTAGGTAGGTAGGTAGGTGTCACTGTAATCTGGCCACGGAGCGCTCTAAGCATCGCTTGCGATTTGAAATGCGTGCGTTGCCCGACTCGCGCGCCGCTTATATCGCGGAGACGGTGCTGCGACAAAAAGCTTCCTTGAATCGTTAAAACCTCCACCGAGATCCCACTGCATTCATTAAAATTTACAAATTAACGCTATTACTTTATTAACCGAAACCGACTATTAAACGGTTACTGCATTGAGTGGTAATGGAGAGCATTACATTCTGATTGACACCTCTTCTGGGTGAAGACTCCATTATATAGCACATGGCTGTCCCACCCTTCAAACTGGAAAGAATGTCTGCTTCGCGGCAGAAATAACTAGGATGGTTACACTTATCCGGCTTGTGAGTACAATGAGTCCTGCCACCAACAAATACGCAAATCACTATGTTAACGAGTATTGTTTTATTACGCGACGCTATTAGTTCATGTTGGAAGTCGTCCGTGAGCATGTCCCGGCATAGTCGTGTCGAATGTGAAGTACGAACATAAGTGGCGGTGCAGGCGCGGGTACAGACCTGTGCGCTGGCGGCGGGGGCGATGATCTCTATGATCTCCGGCTTGTCGTCCGCAGGGTCGGGCTGGGGGTTCGGTTCCGGGGCAGGGGCCGCGTGCACCCCCGCGAGTGCGAACAACGCCATGAGGTAGAGTGACCTTCTCATCATGATTCTCGGGTACTATTTACAACTTTCAATCCAGTCTTCGTTTCTAATCTGTTGAGTTAAAAATGCGTAATATTAGAATAACACACAAAATCCTGAGCGTGTTTAAATTTTCATAAGCTTCATGTATTATATTACAAAAATGACCTTACTCATATAAAAATCAATCAATCAATTTAATTGTAATTGATAGTGGCAGACGATTTCACCGACAATAAGTCAAGTGAAGTGACGAACAAATGTAATGTTAATACGTTCAGTATGTACTATGTATGTATGTACACACGCACACACACACACACACACACACACACAAACACGTCTCTATGTATTTAAACGTTAATTTGTAATTGAGTATGCAGGTTACAGAGCGCTGGCGGTGGTTGTGCAAGGCGCGGCCGCGGGGCACGTGCCCCCTGCTCTACGCTCAACTTCACTCAAGAACTGTGAACGCGCGTGCAGGTCGCGGGGGTCAGCTGGAATAGCGGCCCTTAAACTAATTGCTTGGCACAAGCCAGCATAGGCGGGTCTGATCTACCACAATCTAAAACATCATTAATTACTCCTTTATTTTTCTAGATGTTTAAAGGACCTGCAGGCCCATCAGGTGTTAAGTGGTTCCCGGGGCCCGACATCGTCGACATCGTCATCAACAGAAAGACAAGAGAACGAAGTCTTACGCGCTCCCCTCCACTCCTCTCGCGACAGAAACAAGTAGAGGGTAGTCCCTGCTTACCCCACTTGCTGCTGTCGCCTCACTGTCTTTAACCGTGGAAGCGGTTCGATGTTCTCTGGTCTGTTTTATTACCAGCGATGGTAGACACGCGATCCCATTCGAGGAGTAGTGCTTAGTGTTCATACGGCTTCAGCTCGTTTACAGATAAAATAAAAATCTTGAAACTGTTTTTAGCAAATTACCAAGAAATCCAGTGCGAATAAAGCCGCTCGATTACAAATGTAATAAAGTCGGCCGTCGCCGATAACGTGAACAACTTTCAGTTAAAGATACCTTATTAAGTAACTTATAAACCGTTCCAATATTTTATTTCTGTTGTCAATAATTACGAAATCGTGAAAATAAAACACTAATTTTCATCGAAACGGCTCAAAGTCATTACTTTAAAATGTAGGTCAATGTGATCACTTTAGGTGCGATTCCGATTTGTAACTTGAACGCGACTCTTATTAAATATTAACATACAAACAGCGTTTTACTGCAGAGTTGTGAGTAATTCAGACTTGGATCAAGTAGATGATGTTGCAATCATTCAATCATCGATCATCGACCAGCACTCGTGCACAGGCCTCGCCTCACAAGCATGAGTGTGCGAATGACTACTTTTCATTTTTTCCGTTATCATTAGAGGACTTAGAACTGAATTTTATGTATAATAAATAACGCGCAGTAAGGCGGCTAATCGTTTTGTGTAAAGTAGAGCAGAGCCGCGGTTCTATCCGTTACACTTTTGTAATAAGTTTTTAGAAAGGCAAACATACTAAAGTATGATATATTTTAGAAAGCCCGTAGAGAAGCAAGGGCATGTGGTGTACGCGCATATCGCTACCGAAGCCGCTCTACTTTGCGTGCGGACTCCGCTCTGCTATTCGACAAATGCTGACCACCGATACAGCTGTGCTGCTGGTAGAGTATTTACTAGTATCTAGTGTAGTCTATGACTTGCTTGTCTGTTTAACTGTCAAATGCTAAGTGTGATATGAAAGTAATGATTATTTATTAAATACGCATATTCGTGATTTCCCTATAAATAAGATTAAATGAAATTTACAAAAGACAGTGGTTATTATGTAAACAGAGAGCTATCTATATACACTCGCACGTGGAGGCCGTCAAGTGAAGGCGGCGCGGACGGTGGTCGCGGCTGCAGGATCATACTACTGTACTAGCGTCCTAGCGTCAGAGCATTTGCATAATCACCGTAATGGATATTTTTGGTATCACTTGTATTTCTCACGTATGTTCACTGACAAACTGAAAACATTAGTAGACGCTCAATGTGGAACCCATCAAATATGGTTAGGTTTGTCTTTTGTCCGCCTCTGTGAGTCTGCACGTAATCTAGTAGGTACGTACTGCTGGCAGTTTAATATACGCTCTCCTTATCACTAACTACTTTGTTACGTAAAGAGCGATGTTAAATGACCCTTCCACCGTCACGACTCGGACGTAGCAGACTTGACAGGTGTCTGAATTAATTCTTATAAAGTATTATCGGCATTGATCAACTCGAATTTATTTTAATTAAACATTTGTTAATAGATTGTTATCATTGGCCTTCCTTACGTACCGTCGACCTGGTTATTTGCGACATGACGTAATCCTGTTTCCTCCTAGACGAAAGGATCTTGGTGGACGGTGTTGGGAATCATAGGAGTGCTAGCTGAGGGCTTGCACATCAGTCGTTGTTAAGTTATTCAGACAGTATTAAAGTAGCCCGATTCAGTGTCCTGAATTATGATGGGTGAACCTTTTTACGACACTAAAATATTTTAAGAAATTCAATTCTGAATTGAGTTATCGTTACGTAATAAATCCTAGTTAAAGGATAGATTGTATAGAAACTGCCCGCAATCTACTGAGAGTCGAGGTCAACCCACTTGGTCAACCACTTTAACTATTGGCCTTCTGAGACCGACCAGCGACCAGCCACCGACACGTTCTACGGCTGCTGTTGGACATTCAATACGGCTATTAAAATATTTTCGTTTTAAAAGGACGGTGCCGACTCTGTGCGGTGTGTTCGCGTGAACCTTCAATGTTTTGAGTTTAATAAGTTGATTTTAATATTTACAATATTACAATTTAATTAAATCTCTAAAATACTTTGATGTACTATGGAAAGTATCCACGATATTGTAACGTGACTTGTATTGTGCTTACTTTGAATCAAAGGCGCCTGTGGAATAGCAAGAACACAAAGCTTTTATCGGAAAATTGGATGGAAGTTTGATGTTGTTATTGGAATTACTATTTTACAGAGATTTGGCTTAGATGAAAACATCAGCAAGCAGTTCCGAGTGTCGACAATAGCTTCGAAGAGGCAGGTCGACATGTCGAGACAGACGCGGAATATACTTGCTGTTACCATTGTACCGTTTGTTTGATCTAATTTATCTATCTGTTTTGATTTCAAATAATATTTTTGAATTTTTTAATAAAATTCAACGTCGTTGCTAAATATTAAACAAAAAATGTGCCATATTTCTTGAGTACCGCGATAGAGTCCGGCGGACAGTCCGGCGGACAGTCCGGTGGCATTCACTCAACTGTCCAATAATTTACTTAATAAATTTAGATGTCGCAATTAATTTCGCAAAGCAACAAGTGCAGAGTGTCAGAGAACGAATCGGCGTAACCTCGGCGTGAGGCCAACGTTTGCCAAATCAAATGCAATATCTCTATGTACCTACGTTTGGCAAGCTGGCTTCCTTTGCGAACGGACGAACGGACGTTCAACTGGATCGATCTCACTTGTTATTAATAACATAATAACTGGATTAAACACTTAACTGCTGTTGTACGGCATTAATTGCTAACGATTATTGCGTTGCAGCTTTTATATTTCGTATTCCGGAAGTTATAAATTTTCCAAATATTGGTAACCATATTATTATGGTAGTAGTAGCAATAGTATAATTAAAATTACGTTCAGTGTGCTGACATCTTAGCAGTATTGAAATAACGACTATCTTGCCTTGTGAATAAAAGCATACGACTTCTTTGGTTCAGATACAAAAAGGGTGGTAATAGCTCCCCGATGGCCCACCTGGCGCTGGTAGACGCGCCATCTCAATATCAAGCTCACGTCACCAATTGCAGTGATCGGTTGTTGAGCACTGTCGTAGGCTTAGAGCAACTGTTACTGCCAAGGCTCTGTGCTGTTAGAGAGCTGTAAAGCATCCGAGACGCAGCTGTTGTCGCGCGACACTAAACCGAAACCTAAAAGTCGTTTTAATTATCTGTAGCGCTCGGGAACAGTGAGAGCCCGGGAGTGCTACTACTACTACTACTAAATGTGACAAATGAAACAAAATAACAACAATCTACCGCAATCTAAATATCCGACATGTTCACTGTCACGTGTCTGCATGTGTATGTAGTGTGGTCGACCGACCCACCAGCTTTAAGTGGTCGCGGCGTAAAGGATCAGACGCCCGGGGTCCTGGTACCGACCGTTGCGACTAGCATGTGCCCGCGCTCACATCCCGCAGGCGAGAGCTAATCGATCATTTTAATGCCATATGTACTCAACAGATGCACACACACACACACACACACACGTACGTACACATGGCACAGAGCTTGCCGAGGGACGTTTACATAATAATATTATAAGTTCTGTCTCAGCGTCAAATCAAAATGATTTAATAAATAAAAAATGAATTTCTCAATTTCTTTTGTACACAATTGTATATTTTACGAGGACATGACCTCACATGACTTCGGATACAATACATTCAAATTAAACACCCGTGTTCAACCATATTTAAATAAGACCTTTGAACTGTTTGTCATCCTCAGAGAATCACGTTTATGTTTGCTTCACAATAGTGACTCGTACAAACGATATTCTCAAAGAGATTTCCTTCTATTGAGGTACACGTAGGATACACCTCAAGCGTCGTCGTGTGAGGACAACGCTGTACCGGGGCGAGGTCACCGCTGTAGCGACACGAGAGAGCCAGTGCTTCTAGCGTCCTGAATGATTGGTAAACGCCAACAAGTTTTGAGCATCCATGAACACATGTCACGTCGAGAACACGTGTCTAACAAGATGCGGGCGGGAAAACCTTATCACTTAGGGGTATGAAAAATAGATAGTAGCCGATTCTCAAACCTACTGAACATGCATATAAAATTTCATAAAAATCTGTCAAACTGTTCCAGAGGAGTATGGTAACTAACATTGGTAACTAACAGGTATTAACATGAGAGTTGCACAGAAAAATTAAAATAATAGGTATATAGTCACTGCTACGATTGATACACAAATAAAACCAAAAAGACATGGCTGAAAATGTATAGTGACTAA